TCTTTTCTGACTAAAATAGCACACTGCTTAATGCAGAAAGCCTGCTTGTCACATTTGTCAATGAAAAGGAAGAAGCATGAGCATCAAGTTTCCTGTTCATATTTCAGCTGACAGTGAACTGCCACAGGCTTCAGTGGGAGTTTGTTGCAGCCCCAAATATATCTGAATTGTTAAAAAATAGATTTAGAGATTTATTTGGAGTTTGACCCCAGTTGCAAGCCTCTTATGACATTAGTAGATAAGAACAGAATCTCTTCCAACTCACTGGTTATCATCACTGGGAGGATCCAAATTCAAAGCAGCAACTGTGAGAGCTACGTAACCTCACGCAAAGCTTGCTGACACCAAGAGGTGGCTTTCATTGCTTTAGTGGAGTTTGGATCAGGCCTGAAATATTCTGAAAAGTAACTGGACTACATCTGTGCCCTCACTCCAAGTGCCTGTCAGCTAGTGATCCAGCACAGGGCTTCCCAGGCTGTGGAGTTACTGGGGAAGCTTCACGCTGTGGCCATGCAAATCAGCCCCAAGAACAAGCTAAAGGCTTGCACACCTGCCTGATGGTAATGCATACAAAGAGGAAACATTAAGTCTCAGTAATTAAGTTTAAGTAATAGAATCTTTGCACTCTGAGCTGAAAAAACGTCATTATGTTTTAGCATAAAGTGGGGATAAAAGTATAAAGTTTTGTCTACAATATTCTGTGTATTCCTGGGTTTGGGGCTTTTTTTAAATTTGGTTGAGGTTTTGTTTTGGTTTTTAAATTGACATTTGTGGCTTAGATTTTAAATATTCTCCTCTGGGAATGCTATTTTCTTGGTAGCCCACCCTTCTGCTGAAAAATTAGCAAATACTATAAATGTTACAACTAAGCCAAATATCACCTGAGGTGTTTTTAACCAGGGAAATAATTTTCACTCCTGACCTTTACACTCCTTCATGTTTATAAGGTTACATGGAGAAATGCTTCATAATCTGAATGTCAGATAGGTATGCTTTGGAATTATGCCAAAGTTATGACAGACATTCTTATCTCACCACCTTAGCATTACACTTAAGGCATACAGTGGTTTTGTCACTGTTGTCAAAAGTAGCATCTCTGCAGCTTGCCTAGATCCTTGGACTTTTTTTTTTAATTACTTATTAGCATTCAATCATATGAGCACATACATTTTTATATGATTCATAGATGCTATCTAGCAGGATAAGAAGCAAGAACATGTGCCATTAATTTTCCTCGATTTTTGTTTCATTGCTCTTTAGGGACAATTTTATAATGGACTCAATTTTTTGTTATCATTATATAGAGAAGGACATCTCTTTCCTTGGGAGATCCAGAAACTCTGCACCTAGGGATCTGCAGAGATGCTACTTTAGACTGACTTGAAACAATGAACCAACTGGAGACAAGCTGATCACCTCAACACCTACTCCCTGTTTTCATTTAAGTATTTGAGTTATTGGCACTGTTCATGTGGAATTTGGATGGTTCTGTGGATTACTCCAGGCAGGACCCACTGCCTGGAAAAGTTTCTTTATGTTCCAGTGTGCTGATTAATATCCAGGGAGAAGGATATCCAGAAACTCCAAAGCTACAAAATCAACCCAATTCTGCACAGACTGCAGGTAGTCAGAGGAGACTTGTGACTAGTTACTTGTCCATAGTCAGAAGAAACTTCCTGCAGATGCAAAAATGATCATGCAGGATAGACTCATGCACACAATTTAGGGAGGTAAAAGATGTTTTGTAGCTCCAGACAACCACTAGGGATGGATTATGCATGTGCTGGAGTGGTCCCAAGGCACGTGAGACAGCTAAGTGTAGGATCTGAACAGTAATGCAGGTCCCAGAGTCTCATGTGACCCAGCCAACACCACCACTATGAGGACCTGTGCAACAGAATCCCCTCTTGCCATCTGGACACTGACACTGACTGTCCCATTCAAGGATTTGATTCCTCACAGTGACTCAATATTAGCAAAATTAGTACCTTACTGACTATTTGTGTTATACTCAGCAATTGGCTGAAACCATACCCACTCTGAGTATAAACAGAGCATGAGACGGTAGGGGTTGAAGTCCTTTGGTTGAAGGTGTCTTACATCATTCCATCAGTAGCCTAAAAGCATTTTTGGATTCCTCAGGAAATGTGTACAGGTTAGCAGTCCATCTCCAGTTTTCTAATCCTCTGTGTTTTCTTCTCTAACCCATTTTCAAACAAGGCACATTGCTGCTCCAGATGGTGGGGACAGAGAAGGCAGACTCCAGTCTCAAAGTGCAGAGAACACCCAGTACAGAGGGTTCTCATACAATTTTTTCATTCCCATAGCACCTTCAGAGTGGTCTGGAAATCTGATGTCCCAAAGTAACAACTGTAAAATTACATGAATAGAAGACCTTTTCACTATGAGGTCTAAAAATATCCTCTCTTTTTTTGCCCCAAAGGAGCCTGAAGTCTACTGAAGGCAAAATAATAACCACCTCAACTCCCACAGATCCAAAAATCAATAAAGCAATTGCTTAAATTGTTGCTAATGTGGGCTGTACTCTAGAGGAGCAAGGAATTTTGTTAATTCCTACAAATAACATTCACTGGATTAATTGATAAATCTACTGCCCGTTCCTGCGCACAGCAAAACTCAAACCAGCAACTGCCTGGCAAGGCTCATTACACAGCTCTGGTGGTTACAGCAAGAAGCAGCAAAGTGTGATGGAAAGTTTCCATGTCCTACAGTGAAATTCTGGATATATTAGAAGCATCAGAAAGATCCTACGTACATAAAATAAAGCTCTTCTGAAGTTAGGTAAACAGTGCTGAGATCACTTACTGCTTGTTCTGTGTACCTGACCAGCCCGACATGGTTTTGTCCTATGGGACTTAGTATTAAGTGCACCAGAGGAGTTTCTACAACTCTGTAATAACCTGCATCACTGCTCTGCTCTCTACCTTGCCATCCTGTTACAGGGGCCCTAGATTGTATTTAGCCCAGGCCAACTTATTATTAATATGAATTAGAGATATGAATGTGTGAAGATAAACTATCTCAGAAGTAAGAATGGATGTATTAGGCTATATAAACAGCACATGTTTGAATCCAAGTTACATTTTTCTAATCAATAATAATAGTTTACTGTCCAAAGCAGCCTGACATATTGTTAGATATATGATCCTTCCAAAAATGTTTTATATGCTATCACTCTCTAATTGAAATGTGAAAATGCTCCATTTAAAAAAGTACAGGTATCCAGAAGGAAATTAATACTTATTCATTCCGTTCATGTGAATCTGCAGCTGACAGGAAGAAATCTGAATCTACAAATACATTCTACATTTCAGTGATCCTTTCACATTTCGAAACAAGAAAGGTTGGGGAGGGGCAGTTGGAAGCTATGTTATTTTTTCTGACTTTCTATTTTTGGTCATTTAGGCATTGCTTGTCAGACTGGGCCTTCAGAGTTTTAAAATGGGTTGTAGTTTCTATCTATATTGTTGTTCTTGTATTTTATTCCTCCTGCTACACAGGTGCATCTCCTGCTACCGTGTCGTGCATTTGTCTCTTGGGAGAGTGGGTGGTTCTCACAAATACAAAAACTATTTAGCTCTACAAGACAGAAATAAATTCAACATTGAAAAAACCACAGTAGCCAAAGTGCAGCAAAATGTAATGCTGCACTCTGCTAAAATAACATTCTTTCTTCTCCTGACACTTCTGTCGGGTCCATGACACCATCCATACATTCCCCCTCAAGTTAAAACAGCAGCATTTCCTAAACCTGGATGAACATTTTAGAAAGGAAAGCAACTTCTAACCCCCAAGTATTTATCTCATTAGATTGAAGTCTGATATTATAGATTTAGAAAAAGACCTCAAAAGTGGTAGCAGCTAATCTTAATTCCCCTACAATTGTCATGGCCTCAAAAGAAGGTTTAGCAACCTGACACAAACCTACACACAAAGGGATCTCGTGGCACAGGAGGATGACTAGCTATGTATCCAAAAATCAAATACAAATAAGATTAAGAAAGCCATACTAATCTTTGTACAAGCTAGCATTTCATCTCTCAAAGACATCTGTCACTTACATATGGCACAACTTTCAGCATAACAGGGAGAGCACTATTAAGTACTGTAGAGCAAATGTGAAGCTCAGAGATAGGTCAGAAATGAACAGGAACTTCAAGGGGACTTGTCATTTCATCAACACCACTTATCTGCACACTCTGCAAAGTGCAGTCTCCAAGAAGGCTTCCTACAACTGTGCAAAAAACCAACCAGTGCATCCACCAAAAACTGTTTCATGCTGTCTTCAGTTGGGGGGCTCAGTGAAAACCATGTAATTATTAACATCTAGTTTTGTGTTTCCTCCTCACCTTCACAGAAGCACAGAGACAAAAGTTTTTAAAAACTGTGGCAGTCAGACTTTCAATGGAGAAATGAGCATTGGCCCTTCCCTCTTTGCTACAAAGGGAACCAGCAGGTTTGAGGCATCCTCAATATTCACCAAAGGTCAGATTTTCAGGAGAGCTCAGGTTCTCACTCAAGCATCGTGAAGCCTGTGAGTTGGCTAATCGGGTGAAAGAAAGAAAAGAGAGGCCCTAACTACTTCTATTCTGTACCACTATCCTTAGGATAGCCTTGAAGTCAAAACCTCAGGAAACCCTTTTCAGCTCCTAGGCTGATACACCTCTGTGCCAAGAGCTCTGGCTCTCCAAGATCCCTCACTGGTACCTTTTGTTCTCTGCATCACACTCCCCTCTCATTGCATTCCCAGGCACGCGAAGAATTCGTCAGCCCTTTGCCTTCCATCACAGCACTTAAATGAGTGACTCTTCCAAAGGATTCAACACCTTAGAACTTCCATGGGGGAAAATCAGTGATTTAGCTTTTCAGTTCCCTTGAGGCTGTGGCCTTCAGCACTTCTGGGTAAGACTTTTAAAGCAAACAAAAAAGGAAAACAGAGAGAGATGTTTCTTACTTGGCCCTTCCTTTGTTGCTTGCAGCCCATGGGATCGGAGAGGACGGAGATTCGCAAACGGCAGATGGCTGCGACCCCGGAGAGCCCAGGTGCTGCACAGGCTCAGCTCAGCACAGGAAATCGAGGCTCCAATGCTTGCTGCTTTTGCTGGTGCTGCTGCTGCAGCTGCTCATGGTAACCCCTCTCATTTAAGCCTCTAAGGAACAGAATAGGAGGGAAGGGACACATAGCTCCTGCACAGGACAACATAAGCCAAAGAAAACAAATTGTATAATTCTGCAGATCTGGGACACAAAGAAATTGCTGTGCTCTACCACTAGACACAACCCTCTACTCCAGTGTAGTCCTTCTTTCCCCTGCCATTGAAATAACAGATTTTAAAAGAAATATTTGTACAGTATCTCTACTGCTCTTTTTGTCAATATTATGTAATGTCTGTTTTGTGCTAACCTCAGCACTGAGCTTCACCAAGGCTCCCACTAAAAACTGAAAGCAATGCCAGAATATGTCAGAGCTTTATTTTTAGATTTGGGCCTTGACAAGGAGTTAGGAGAAGGTGGAAGAGTTTTTAGGTCAGAAAATGAATAAGCAGGTGCCCAGCACACTTCTTTTCCCCTGAAGGTAACTGGATCTGTTGTCATTAATTAGTATTGCAAACTCATGGCACCTGCAACTCATATGAAGATAATCATTGGGACCAGAAACTTTAAACACTGTGGGTATTTGCTGAAGTTGAGAAGCTAAGCAGAAAAAAATTCAGAAAAACCCCCACTACAAAAGTCCCACTCCTGCTAAGGAAGCAAAAGAGGAGGAATCACTTGATTCCTAAATTAACAATGTGTTCACCTTCACTTTCTTACCAGCCCCTCCAGATCCAAGTGATTTCATTCTAAATTGAAGTAAATATTCCCATACTCAAAAGCCCTGTATCTGGTTAGGGCAAAATGTTACTTCATGGGTAAGAGTAGAACTTGCATTCAAATAAACAAAAAGTCTTAAATAGCCATAGAGTTTAGCCAAAATTCTGACAGCAAGTAAATCCTTCTTAGAGATTCACTGTCTACCACATAAACACTTCAGAGCAAGCAAACCTGGCACTGAGGTCATGGGAAGTGGTCACAAATAACCTTACAGCCTGGGCTAGGAATCTATTCCACTAATATTGTTTTCCACATAGCATCTTGTGGCAAATGCTTTGGAGAATACCATTAGAAGGCAGAGAAGAGCAGACTGATAATTTCCTTGCTGTTGGTACTCAGCTCATCAGAAGCCAAGACACACAACATTCTGCCCTCCCTAATGCAAATAGTGAATATTTTGCAAGGACAAAAGACTGCTTGGAGGTTTGGGTTTTTTTGTCAGATGCCAAGAACTCTGGCTCTGATCCTACCAAGCTTTTCAGCAGGTGCTTAAAGGTAAACCAAGGTAGAATTTAGAGAGACATTAAGACTCTGCCTGTACAGGACCAGTTTGTGACCTATTGCATGTGCGTTAAATCATCCCACACAAATTCCAATGCCATTTCAACAACTGTCCAGTGCAATTGCAAGTGGCTCAGTCCAGAGCTGCACTACACAAAAATGATTTTCAATTAAAGGAAAAAATAAGACACATTTATATACTACATCATAGTATATAAAATTTCCATTTTACCTTTTAAATTGTTGATAAAGTACTTTTTTTTTGGTGATTCTACCTGATATTTTTCAGGATGTTCATTTTCTGTGTATCTCACTATTCAAACAATTCAAAGAAAGCAATTTACTCAATAGGGTTTGTGAAAGTACCCAGATTTCATGATGCTTAAAATTCCTATTAGCATTTCAGAATCATCTGGGAAACCAATACAGGCTCAGAAACAGAGTAGCTTGTTTCAGCTTTAAAATAATTTCTGATTTTTTTTTGAAACAATTGTTTTCTAGTAGCAAGAAATGCAAAACAAACCGTAATTAAGCTATTTATGTTCCCCATTCATAGACCATTTCCTCAAAATAGCCTAAGCTCTTGGAACAGAAAGATTATGAATAGGAATAAAAATAACAATCTCCATGAGTCATGCTGCTGAGCTGCTGAACATCCAATATTCAGCATATTCTTAATAGTAGATTTAGAATGAACTGAAATGAGTCTCTCAGCTGGATGCTCAAAGCCTGTGTTCATTCCTACAGTCAAACCCAACCTCCAGCCTGTTACTCTTCCAGATCCCAAGAGGATACAGTATTGCACTACTCTCTTTATTGTTTACTTGTACATTTCTAGGGAAAGAGCCTGCCTGTAAGTAATTTTCTGAAGCATGGCATGTTCTCTTAGGGAGGCTTTTGTTATTTCTTTGGTCTTTTTCCTTTTCTGTGCATTATCCCATAAGACTGTATTCCTTTCTATTGGATCTGTTGGTTCCCCTCAATCCAAAAATAGTTCTGACAAGAGTATCACTTCCTGTCTGTGTGTGAGAATACATATCACTTTACATATTCAAAAAATGCCAGAACCACTGGTAAAAAGGGTAGTAAAGGCTTAAGACCCATATAACCTAAGAGAAAAAAGCATTACTACTTACATTTTTCTCTTTTTTTTCTTTAAAGGTAAGTTGACATAGTTCATTGGTTTGAACATATGGTTCAGATATTGCTGAAAAAAAGGGTTTGCACTATCTGCTCTCCATCTCAGCTACACAAAAGCTTTCCTATATCTTCAACACATGGACTGCTGTGGCAAAGAGAAAAGTAGGTCTCTGCAGATTATGGACTAATGGTAGACAAAGGCAGAGAAGGAGATGCCCAGTAAACAGTAAGGCTGCAAATAAGAGTTGGCCAAGAGTTTAGACTGCAAAACAGGCAAAAAATCCACTGGTTTAACCAAAAATCTTCCTAGAGATAAATGAGACTCTTAGAGATTAAGGCAGCAAAACTTAGAACATTAGCATGAAAGAAAGGTAAGATACAAATGAAGAAATTAAGTTTGGTATTTCCCTCGAAGTTATAGCAACTGTGTTGCCTTGCTTCAGCTGGAGGACCCATTTCATAAAAATAACAGGCAATATAAAATATAAAAAACACTGGGACCTTTTCTTCTTGACATATTTTAAGCAGCTTTACAGATTATATGATAGCATGTGTGTATGCATATGCATTTCTCACTAAGCTACCATAGCCTGGATGAACTGAATGTAGTCCTCACTCCCAAAAAAAATTTCCATTTTCAAATCCAGTTTCAAATGAAAATTAATCATCTACAACTACAAAAGAAATTTTTAAGAACTAGAGCTATCTTAACTAACATTTGATGAAAGAAGCAGGAGTTCACAGCTACGGGACATCAAAAACTGTCAGCGATCACTAGTGACTACAGCAAACTTTGTTTTTGTAATGCTACAAACAAGTGTTTCCATTCAGACATACTCAAAATGATATTCAGCAATGATAGATCTGCTTTTCATGCTCCAGATATCCCATTTTGACACATGTATTAGCAATTTACTAAGATGCAATCAATCACCACACAATCTGGCTGTAGCTACATCTGAACTCTGAAAGCGCTTACCCTTCCAAAACCACCTAGAGAAGTCTTTAGCTCACTTAAATCCTGTGTCCTGCTTCTGAACTCTGGCTTTCCTTTCATGGTATCACCATTCCAAACCAGAGTGTTGGCCCTCATCACAACTGAGGAGAAAAAAAATGCAAACAAACAAATCCAAACCCACTTACCTTGAAACCTAACTCACATAAAACCAGTGCATCAGGCCCAGCCTAAGTAAAAGCATTGCACTGAGTATAGACAGTACGAAAACAAACAGAGAATAGATTTGGTATGTGACAAAGGGTATGCATCCCATACACACTTGGGTGTGCATATATATATATATATATATAAAATTGGACCTGACAATCCTTATGAGTCCCTTCAACTTGAGATATTTTATGGAACTATGCTCCTTCTGTAGAAAATCTGTGTTATAGAATACTAAACAGCTTTCAGCTACACTCAAGTTTTATACAATTGTAAAAATAAGGTCAGAATGTAACTGTGGATAATGTGCCTATCATTAGCTTCTGTCCTTTTAGAATTTTTTCTTTTAGTAGAGAAGGAAAAGTGTCTAGTGTATGTTCAGTCATTAAAGTTGACTGAAACTTTGCTATTTTTCAGTCTTACTGTTAGAAATCAAGAAGAAGAGAGAGCAAGGAGAACATCTCATGAACTCCAAGCAGAGGGTATTCCAAACTGTGAGGAAAGGTATGGTCTTTATTAAGTGTTCTGTCAAGCTAAAATGAAACAAACCCAACAAGCCATACTAAGTAATTGCAATAGTTTACCTGACATATGAAAATAACTATTATCTACTTGTCATTTACACCCAATCTGCAAGTCACCTGTTTTTTTTACCTCCTAATGAACCAAAGGTCTGATCTATAATATTTTACTTCATTTATATGCAGCATGTAAGCACATCCCCACTCCCATGACAAATTAAAACCAGCATTGTAAATTGAAATTTTACCCTTTTTCCTGAAATAGGGTAAATTTAAAAATACACCCTGTTCCCACCCAGCGAGTATGCAATGAGCTTAACCAACAGTGTTCAGCCTAACAAAAATAATAAACTGGAGCTTAAATCCTCCCAAAAGTCAGGCAACAGTTTCTTCAGAAATGCCCAAACAGGTAAAAGCACCTGCAAAATGGTAACATACAGGTGGGTACCTTTCAAAAGGTTTGAATCATTGCTTCTTTATATGTATTTTCATTCAATTTTTAACCATAATTTAACAAGGAATATTAGGGATAGAAAAAATGTCTAGCTGTTACACGGGTACTTCTTTGTTGCAATTACTCTGAGCACTAAACTGCAATTTCTGCATCAAAGCAGAGGCAATCACCTGCATCAGAGCCTTTGGTAAGCACACTTTCAAAAAACATCTTATAAATGTGTTTACACGAGTTTGCACTTGGGTGGCTGCAATGAGGAATCAGAACCCCATGAACCTCACAATTTTGTTTCATTGTGATGGCAGATGTCTCCTGCCAGCTGCAAACAGCTTGAGTAACAATCATTCGTTTCTCTCCTTTTGCTCTTCTTCCTCCTTAAGCCCTGCTCCCACTCTTGAAGAAGTAAATGCCTGGGCTCAATCATTTGATAAGCTGATGCTTACTCCAGCTGGCAGAAATGCTTTTCGTGAATTTCTGCGAACAGAATTCAGCGAGGAAAACATGCTTTTCTGGATGGCCTGTGAGGAACTAAAACAAGAATCCAACAAAAGCGTCATTGAAGAAAAAGCAAGACTAATTTATGAAGATTATATTTCTATCCTCTCTCCAAAGGAGGTATATTGCTTTCCTTATTACATTCTTTGATGTTTCTTTGCACAGTTAGTTCTAACATGTGTTTAAAGCTACAGCAATGCTTAGGGAGAATTTCCCCCCGCCCTCCACATTCCACTGCCATCAAGTAGATATTTAGGGGAAGAAGGCACCCACCATTGAAGTGAGATGGTCAAAACTACTTTCACTGGTTGTAAGGAAGCTCTTCTTATGCTAAGCCTGGCATGCTGATGTGGAATTTTTAGTTTGAGGCACAAATATATGGCTGATCACATTATCCTTGCCCAACTCAAATTTTATTTGTTGGACAAATCAGTTCCTTTTCTCATTACACTTGGAAGAGGGTGTATACGTTTCTCCAAAAGCACAGTAACCACAAATAAAGTGTCATTTTCAAAGACAAATTTCTCACAGAGCAGCTGACAAAATATGGCATAGAACAAACACAATTACTTCCCCAAAAATTTTCAAAACTATTTTGCTGTTAGCAAATATGTCAAGTTTCAAAGGCACCTCAGTACAGTTTTAATATAATTCTGCCAAGCAGGCTAGAATTTGACCCCTTTCAACATCCTTGCAAAATTGCAATTTAATTTTTTTTTTTGTGCCAACTATACTTCTGTACTTATAGAAATGCTGTTTAAATCTACCCAGTCTGTTCCTGCAGTACTAATATCTCTCTGCAGATATTAGTAGGACCTGCAGGAAAAAAAGGACAGACACATAGGACCTGCAGGAAAAAAAAAATTACATTACTGTATGTTGTATGGAATCATTATGTAGCCCTACCTGTGGTTCACATCAACTCACTCTGCTTTTTAACAGCAATTTGATTAAGAAACAACTTCCCAGGTTACATTGTCCACCTGCGTCATACTCTTACTCCAAGCTCAGTCTCTTTACAACAGCACCAACTCTCCAGGAAATGAACTGTCACAAAAAATTATAAATGCTCTCTACTACAGAGCAGGAAGTTGGTCTGGAAATAACCCATCGGTCTCAGTAATAATGGGATTGCAGATAGCCTTGTTCCAATAAGGTACCTCAGTGAGGACATTACCCATACTCAAGATATTACTCCACTCAAATTTTAACAGAATCATTTTTTGCAGAAGTTTATTTAGCAATTTTTACAGTCTTGTAGGACACCAGCTGAAATGCTTAAAAAAGATGGCTTTTTCAACCAATGAAAGAAAAATAAGACCCCACCTGTATTATTCACTATTATTTACATGACTTTCTATTTTAATACACAGGTCAGTCTGGACTCCAGAGTAAGAGAAGTTATTAACCGAAATATGCTGGAACCCTCACAACACACCTTTGATGATGCACAGCTTCAAATTTATACCTTAATGCACAGAGACTCTTACCCACGGTTTATGAACTCTGCTATTTATAAGGACTTGCTTCAGTCCTTGTCTGAAAAATCCATTGAAGCATAGAATTTTTTTCTTAAATGTATTTATTTTAAAACAGACAGGACTCTGGGCTACAGAAATCCACAGGGAATTTAGAATTAATCAGATATTTACCTGAAAATAACTCAGGCAAGTTTTACTACAGACTGAATAATTTAAATCCGCACAAAGCTCTGACACAATCAACTAAGTACAGTTTCTGATTAAATTCAGTATTACTTTGAAAAAGGAAATGAAGAGCCTGAAGAAGAAACCTTGTTCAAAAAATGCAGTATTTTTTCAAACACAGCAGACAATTCAGACACAAATTTATACCTTATGTCTGAGGTACAAATACCAACTGAGCATGAAACTACAACTGATTTTTAAGTGGAGTGTTAGAATTTTCTTGAAAATGAAAGCAGTTGCCCCATCCACACTGTGACCAAAGTAAAAATATTACTGTCAATACTGTGTTACTCTAGGCACTGCCATCACACCTGGCATAGGCACACTCCACTTGTTTTGGTATCTTTAATGCATACATGGTGGACTAATGGAAATTGGCATGGCAATCTCAAGTTTATGAAAGTTACTGGTTGAAATAATGCTGCTTATAAAAAGAAAACCTTTTGCTGAAGAATTGTTATTTTAGTATTAGAATCTACTGAAAGCATTAAGTTCCCTTTGTTGATGTTCTGATGTTCCTAAAATTAAATTATTTATTTCAGAGGAAGACAAGTCTGGGCATTCAAATTCCAAAATAAAGCACCAGAATTCTCACATATATTTCTCTTCCCTCAGTAGGTGTTTGTAAAACCCTTCACTATTTGTTCCCAAGACGACGACAGTTTCAACCAGCTTGGGTTTGTAAATATGAAATTCTCCCATTTCCTGACAGATCTTGTAAAGTTTCCATCACAGATATATACACAATTTACTTAATAAAAGCAGGAAGATGGAACGTGTGTTCACATACAGCAACATTTCAGACTGTCCAACAGCACCAGCTCTATCCAGTTACAAACCATGTTCATTTACAGTATGCCCAAAGCATTACACTTAATTCCTGGTCATATCTCAAAATCAGTAATCACAGGAAATACTAGGAAGAAAGAAAGTTGAATCCACATAAACTATCTGTAGATCTGTTACTCTAATGTCTTCTCTTTTTTTAAATCACATGATTCACTTCAATTCCACTACATTAAACTCTGGAGGTTATAGTGGATTTCCACTGAATTGTATTTTTCCCTGTGTATTTATTTAAATGACCCAAATGACATGTATAGGTTAGAAAAAGATATATGGGAAACAGACACAAAAAAATACCCCCAGAAAGGGGGTACCAGACAGACAGAGCTCAGTGATGTGTACTGTAGCCTTTCCAAAACCTAATCTTTGCCCAATTCCAGCACTATGGAAAATACAAAATGGGAACTTTCTCTAAAAAAAAATGAAACGGGAAGAACAAAACAGAATTTAAGAGATCAATTTAATTGTTTCCTTAATGCACTTGGCAGGTGATATGTTGTGCCCTTACTGCATTTTGAAGCACATAATGATTTGATTTTCTCAGTACATAGCACCACAGAAGATCTGGTGCATGGTAATTTATCAATGCTATGGGCTGGTTCAAGCCAGGCTGGATGGGCAACCTGGTCTAGTGGAGAGCATTCCTGCCAGTGGAGATGGTACTAGATTAAGGTACCTTCCAACCCAAATCATTTATGATTCTATTACCAGTTTTCATTATCCTCTTCCAACAAAACAATATTCAACATGTCAGCACAAAAAAGTAATCCAAAAAAACTAGAGAGAGCAAAGTGCTTTTGCCTGCTGTAGCACAGTGCTGGGTGACTAAGTTAAGAGGAAACCCTTCCATGGACCACTAAAGACACAGTTCAGTTAGTGTTGACCACTGCTTACCCTATCAATGCTGCTTACCTCAGCTGAATTTCTATTTAACTCACCCAAAGCACTACCAATACCATTTCAGTTTATGTAAAATATTACAATGTAAGTAGTGACTTCAACAAAACAAACTAGGTATCTTCAAAAGACAGCACTCACGGGGAGCTTGCAGTCAAACAGATGATACTGTATTTGCTTTAATCAGAGTGGGCAGGAGTGCTCTAAACCTCTAAGTTGACAAATAAAGTTTACCTAGGTCAAATTCAGCTTGTTGGAAAGATCATATGCACGAATCAAAAAAAAAAAACCTTCAAAGCATGCCACCTCACAAAATGGAGGATTTAATTTAAGTTATCTCTCTTCCCTGCAAAGATACTTCATTAAAAGCTGGAAGACAGACTGAACAATCATAGTCCATATCAAACTATATATTCTGTTATTCTGCAAGGAAATGAAGAAAAAAAGATGTAATGAAGTTATAGGGCAGAGAAAACTATAATTTTAACTGGTTTGGGCAGTTTTATGGTTAACACTAAATTATTTAAAAAAGAAAATAATAATTTCTAAGCTTATTTTCCATGTTCCACAACTTCTAAGCAATGAACATTCTCTAGGCAATTTTCATTTTACTTCTGCATAACAATATTTTGACATTTGCAATGTGCATTCTTTCCTGAAATATCTTACCAAATCTTAATGCTGTGCTTTAGGCCTAAGCTTATACCCACCACCAGTAGCAGAATGCTGATCCCTAGACATCTGGCGAATATCTCCTAAAAACCCAAACAACCCACTCCCTTAAATATCTTGTTATTTTCAGGCTGGTTAATGCTGGATTTAATTGATGGCATGGAGGCAAGGAGGGGGGGAGGGGGAAGATGAAAACAAAAACCCACCCACACAGACCACAAATTTTTAATTACATTTCATTGCTATATACCTGCTCATAGTGCATAAACTTCTCAGGGCAAAAGAAAAGTGCACTGAAAAGGAAAAGTTTCCATAGACAAGCTGTTACATGAGTAGCAAGAGAAAATAATCATATTGACATAAGACATTATTTATTCATATAAGAAATTATCACAGAATCAATTTATCCTAGGTTGAAAATGAGCACGGTTGGTTTGCCTTGGCATTTATTGAACTGCAGGATATCATTAAGCTGTAACAACTTTCCAGTCCACTGGCATTCTTCCTTCAATGTCTGCACATCATAAAGCAGTAACTCCCACAGAACATGCACACTGCTAAAGACTGCTCTTTTCACCAGCCTGCTAAGCACTATTAAAATTGCATGGGCTCCTTCAGCCAACATATTGTGCTTTACAGTGACCTTTAAATTCCAAAGTCATTAGCACAGTACAAATGGAGAAAAAAAATATTCTGAAGGGCTCTACCATATAAAGTTAGATTAAAATTCATCACACAAGCATCATGTACTTAAGCAGTTTTGGATTACAAAGGATATCAGAAAAAAGATAAAGTGATGAGAAAGGCTATTATATCATAATGTTAAGTGATTTTTAAACAACTTTGCTGTTAGCAGTTTTTAAGAACATGTGTCTTCTGCTATAAAAGGTATGAGTATTGTTTCAATTACATTATGAAAAATTTTTTATACTAAGGTTGTAACTAAATTAATCCCAAACTCTTTGAAATGGTAAAAGAATTCAAGAGTAGTGATGACCTAGTGAAACAGAAGCTAATATACAGCTGTATAAAATTGTGCTTAAAAGAAGTAAAACTTGTCAGGTTTGTTTCTATGAATGACTAATATTTCAAGATCCTTTTCCAGAGGCATGTGTTTGAAGGATAATACAACCACATTTTACAGAATGAAGACTTCATGTTGATGAATTAAGTCCTGTCCAGGCTGGTAAGGGTTGTGAGTTTCAATTTAAAATTAATATATGTGATCACAAGTGGAATCCTGAACTGATAAAAACCAGGCCCTTCCTTGGGTTCACAAAAGCCAAGATCACTGGGCAGATACTTCCCTTCTGCTTAGTGACTGTCAAAAAGAACCATTCAGTACAAGACAGTTTAAAACTCATACTTTCTCCTGAATGAGATAACAGAATATATGAGCAAATGTATTATATATGAGAAAATGCCTTCCAAGAAGGATCCAGAAGTTGTGTTTTCTGAGCAGCAGGATGCTCTAGCCTTGCTTACAGAAGATCAGATCCTTAAAGAACACACACACACACACACACACACACACACACACACACACACTTAAGAAGGAATGTGGCCTCCTCTTTCTCTCTATTAGAATAGTGTACAAGCTACCTTACACTGCAGGACAACTCTGCTCCATCTGAGAGGATTCAAGTGTTCCTAAAGGTAATAACCAAACCTGCTATTCTTAGATGGAGAGATTGATCACCAGTTCTGCTGCCACGTTTCAGTGCTTGAAATACCCCAGTGTACAGGGTCAGTCATGGCACAACTGCTGCCCAGTAGACAAAGCCAGCCATGGAGAAATGAGACAGCTCCAGCCCCACCTTTGCATCCTCTTTGATACAGGAAGGCAATTTCAGACAGCTGTGAAAACTGCAGCAACTGTTGAACAGAGGTCCATCCAAAGATCAGTACAGGAAAGTTTAATTTTTTGATTTGGGTAACCAAAATAAAGCATGAATAGAACAGATGCATTTTTGAATCTAGCTGTAGCACTCCACCCTTCACTGGGCAAAAGAAACAGTTCTTTTTACCATGGGGGCAGAAGAGAGAAGGATGAAGGCTGTTGCTCAGGTATCATCAGGTGAAATCACAATTTATTTCAACTCCTACTTGGATATACCTGCATCACAGAAAGTGCTACCACAGTTCTGGTTCTTTTAATATAGTCCAGATATAATCTGGTGACTACAGAAAGATAATTACTACACTTTCTCAAAAGATATTTCTTCTAAGTGTCGCAATCAGACACAAAGATTAAAGGACACACTGTGTGAGGAAAGTTATGCAAACCAACCACTGCCTGCCCTGTATAGGTATGCTGTGAACATAGGTGAAATTTGGGTCTACTTGGAATCCAATGTGAAATTTAGGTCTACATGGAATCCAATTTGCTGTCATTTTTAACACAATTCTTTGGACTTGTTCTTTTAGAAGATACAAAGTGTAAAAGAAACTTTTACCAAACAAAGTGTAAACATCTTTAATTGGTTTGTTGTCCTCAACAACTTGAAATTTGAAAAAAAAAAAAATTACATCTTTTAGTAAACTCTCAGGAAACAATCCTGCCAATGGACTTACATACAGGTTAAAAATTAACCCATGCTGCTAGTAGAAAAAAATATTTTCTAAAAGACATTAGCATAAGTTGAGTTAAAATGTTTATATATAAAAATC